AACGTTATATTCCTTCATAAATCATAATATGCCCTATTGTGAAGAACAATCACAACATTATCCTGTAAGACTTTGGGGGCCACAGCTTGGGCTGCGTTTGAGTAAGAGGAAGTTTCTGTTCATTCATATGCCCTATTGTGAAGAACGATCATAACTTTATTGCTGTAAGAAAATCATAATATGCCTTATTGTGAAGAACGATCATAACTTTATTGCTGTAAGACATAATATGCCCTATTGTGAAGAACGATCATAACTTTATTCATGTAAGACGTTAGGCCACAGCTTGGGCTGCGTTTGAGTAAGAGGGAGTTACTTGAAAAAATCGTTGAGCTCGAGCTGCGTTTGAGTAAGAGGGAGTAACTTGTAAAAATCGTAGGATTGCATGAGATGGTCCATCTACTGTAGTAGCTAAAGGTAGTATAAAAAGCCAATATATAGCAACGAAAAACGTGCAAGAGGAGAAAAGTAGATTAAAATAAAAAATTAAAATAAATTAATTAATAACTGGACATCAGCCAGGAGCACTTATTACATAATTCTTGGTTTTTTGGTTTCTGTGGTAATCCTCATAATATAATGTTGTCGGGAGTGCCTGTACTAACATCTTCCGACAGCACAACAGTGGATTCGCTAGCCGTATAACTACTGCTTCGGCTATTGTTAATACCCGTCAGCGAAGGCTCTTATAGAAGTTGGCTAGCGTCCGGTAGACAACCTGAAAGCTTCGTTGGTATCGACCAGGTAATTTTTATCGACAAAGAATAGAACTCGTACTAGCTTCTCGGTCTGTGTTCACGTACACCCTTTTCCAGGCGTCTCGTTGTTTGGCCACTGTATTCTGCTCAACAGGAGTAAGTGGAAAAGTAGATACATATTAATAAACCCTGTCTTACTCTCCTAATTTAATTATACAGGCTTCATCGCCATGAAAGGCTTCGGTATTGTTCATGTCAGGCTATTCCACTCTATGACGGGCCGCACCAAGCCGGATTCCGCGCTGGGCGTGCATGTGTGGACCACATATTTACACGAAGACGTATCCTTAAATTTCGCCATAGCTACCAGCAACCAACAGCCGTCTGCTTTGATGACTTCGCCACTGCGTTCGGTTTCGTCCATCATGAACTTCAATGGCGAATACTGATACTAAATGGTGTACCACCAAACATCGTTGCCAAGATCACGGCATACTACCGTTCCACCACTGCTCGGGTTCTTGTCAGTAACAACCTTTCAGAACCGTTTGCTATTCGGTCGGTAGTTCAGCAAGGCTGTGTCCTGTCGTTTGCTCAATCCATTTACGCTATAGACTACATTTTTGGGAAGGCCCTACGTGAAGAGGACGGTGTTGAGCTTACACCCGGGCGCTGGCTGACTGATCCAAACTACACCGATGATATCGCGGTACTAGCTTAAGGGTTTGGCGATTCACAGTCTTTAGTATCGCGTGTGCACAAGGCCATTATGTCGGTTGGCTTATCCATAAATAAGGGGAAGCCTACACTATTCTCGAGCTACATCCCTAACGAGAAGAAAACACCCTTGGGGATTAATAGCCGTCAAGCTGAAGAACTAAACCGTTTTACCAAATGAATGAGAACCGAACCGAATGAGAAACCGCTTTAAATACTTCGGGGCGAGAATGCTATTGAATGGACCGAATAAGGACGACATTGCTTGCAGAATCGGTGTTGCTCGCCGGGCTCTCTCAATCCCCCGAAAGCGCCTATTGATACCATGCAAAATCTTTATCGCCACAGAGATGCGCGTGTACCGTGCATCCGTCCGGTCCGTCCTCCTCTATTAGTGTGAGTACTAGGCTTTGCACGTTAAAGATGAGCGAAAACTGGAGGTATTATCACAGGGGGTTAAATAAGTTGAACCCAGATAGACGGAATGGAGAATTGGTACAAGGAATTTGATTGTCGGATGAGTGAGCAACCGCCGGCCACAGCGCCGCGTCTGAAGTGAGGCGAACGCGGGAATGCTCACAGCGTCTGAAGCGGTCTTTGTGTGAGTCGGCCTCCACAGGTGATTGGTCAGACGGATTGGTTAGACGGACGAGCGTAAGCGGCCGGTGCATGTGTACTCGTTGATAGCGGTGGTGGAATGAGTCACTGCAGTATTTGCCCATCCCTGTCTGAGGACCATCCTTCGAATGAAGTATACGGACTTCGTCTCAAATGAGACGGTCTGCATTAGCTGCGACAATATCGCGAGGGTATCTCAGGCCATCCAAGAACCACGACTGGGGTGGTTT